GCAGCCATATAAGCCCATTTGGGAGCCTGTTTTGATAATCTGAACCGTTCACATTTTAGAATATATCATATAAAACAAATATTTACCCATCCACCCACCCCCCCCAAAAAAAAAAAAATATATATTATATATATATATATAACATATTCATAAAAAATTAAGTTGATTGGACATCATTAACCATTTCATCAAATTGTATTTGCATGTTTAAAAATAAATGACAATTGTGATTTGAAATATAAAATTGAATAAAAATATAAGTAGATGAAGGGCCAACGATATCCAATTAATTTTATTTTTTATATATTTTTTTACATGTATATTCTATTCGATCTCCTTATAAAAATAAGATGTCTGATGAGTATAAGGTCTCTACTAAACCAGTCCAGTCCGCTTATAGAGTATCAAAGAAACTTATGTTGATTTTATTTATTTATTTATAAGCTTCATTACTAGAAAAAGGACCTTTTGCTACTATATAATTTGCGACCATTTGATTAGCCATCGCAAATAACCAATTTATTCCTCTTTTACCCGTTTTCCTTCCTTATATTTGCCCTAGTTTTAGAAAAATTAAAACACGGATTGTTCTCTCTCTCTCTCGCGTTACAGACATGCATAGCTCTGCTCTCTCACTCTTCCGCTCGCCATTGTCGTCTGAAGATCTCCATCGGTATGAATCGCTCTTTCAATCTCGCTCTCTTTCTCTGTCTCTCAATCTCCCTTCCAATCTCTATCTCTCAATCTCGCTGTCTCTCTCTCTCTCTCTCTCTCTCTCTCTCTCTCTCTCGTTTTCTTGAGTTCTCAAGCTTGTAATATACTTATCAATTTGTTGAATTTTCATGTGATTTCATTGCAAATTAGGTGATTTCATCGGTGTCTTGTGAGAATAGAAGTAAATTTGCAATCCTCAACCTCCTCTATCGCCTCTGCTTCTCTCTATCTGACTTAGGAAATATAGGTTTTCAATTATTTGCAATTCTTTCTTTTCTCATCTGAAATGTTTCTATCTATTTTCAATCTCTATCTTGATCTGAGAACTTGTTTAGCTCCTTATGTGATCAGATTGATCATAAACGTTTGTTTTTCCTCAAGTGAGACTTGAATCTCAGTTTGTTTATTGTGAAAATGTTATAAAACGAGAGCAAAAAAATGTCTTTTATTGTTTTTTTTCATTTTTTAGAGCCAAAAACAATACTATAACCAGATTCAAAAATTATTTTTTTCTTTTCTGTTCTTTTTCCCATTTAGTTCAGGAATACTGAATAAAACTGACAATTTTCCCATCCTTCTATCAATGTTATAGCCATATAGATATACATTATTTATATATATATATATATATATGTTTAAATACACTTTAATGCACACCAGATGCTGTAATTGTTTAAAATGCTTAATTTTGCTGACTGTTTCCATTCTAACTTGAACATCTGCATTCCGTTATGTCCAAATTATGGCTTTTTTCTTTTCTTTTCTTTTTTTTTTCCCCCTAAATATGATGTTTGTGCTGAAGAAAAATGATTTTTTAAAGCTTTTTATACCCTTTATTTTCATTTATGGAAGGGAAGAAGAAAAATAGTAAATAAGGAAGCAATTCGATTAGTTTTTGTTCTACAATTCATAGCCACATGGCATTTCTGACAAGTGTCTCTGCTTCCTAGCTCATCCTAGTTTCTGTTAGACCATCCTTGCTCATTTTGGATCTTGAAAAATTCAGAACTTGACCTTTGCTTTGTATTTTTTCATATTTTTTCCTTTAAATTCTTTATGTGCATGGTACTTTATTTTTATTTTTACTGTGATATGGTGGTTATCTGGCTAGTAAAAGTATATCTTATAATTATTTCCTCATTTGACATCTTGGGGATGTATTTATAATGGTAGATTATTAGCTAAATTTATTTGATAAGTGTGCCTCAATTTTGTGTGATTCTTGAAGAAAGTTTCTTAGATGTTTCAAAATTAAATTTCAGGTTGTTTCTGCATACAAAAACTTAAATGAATGCTTTAGATGTAATGACAAATTAATACTTTTGTGAGAGTTAGGTGTTGCATTAAGGATTTTGCTTCATCTCGTGTTCATCTATGAATGTTTTACTTGGAAACCTACAACAAGAATGGTTCGTGACAACATTTGATTTTCTATATCGGAGGCCATTGTTCATATCTTTAATTGTGCCACCAAAATTCTCAATACATATCTTTCAATACTCTTTATATCATTGCACTTCAACCAATACTAATTCGTCTCCTACTATTTAAAACATGATAATTTTATTTTATTTTTATTTTTTTTAATCATCTTTTAGTTTTCAGATCTTCAATTGTCATTTAGTGATGTGCATTATGCTTAATTGGGCATTACTATTGTTGTTGTAATATATATTTGTGATTGTAGATTAGGAGAAGCAGAAAAGGCAATGTATCACTATAAACAAGCTGGTGCTGAATCAGACCCTGATGTCTTGACTAAAGCTAAAAACCTTCAGGTTCATCTAAGTAAGTGTACTGAGGCCAAGATACAATGAGATTGGAACACACTGCTGCAAGAAACCTGGCTCACCATATCAGCTGGTGTTGATTCTGCCCCACAGGTAGCTATACACTTCAATTTCGGCCTTTAAATGTTATGTTCTGTTTTCAAGGTTCGGTGCCATAGCTATAGGCTTGAAATTGACATGAGTGTTTTGTTTTGGTTGTTGGTAATTGAGAAAGATTTTTGCATTGCAAGCTGAGGCCTTGCTGAAGCTGCATAGGCTTCAAGAAGCAGATGAAGCATTGACAAAAGGACCAAATTTTGACATGGATGATTGCACTCAATTCTTTGGGCCTATTGGTCATGCAAGTCTGTTAGTGTGTTGAAGACGCTAATTGTGTTTTTTTAAGAACAATTCAAAATGTAAAAACTTACGGATAAAGAAAAAAGTAAAAAAGAAAGCATAAAGATTAGAGTTGGTAAACCTTTGACCTGTTACCCAAAAAGCCAGACTCAAAATGCATCATCTCTTTCTAAGTTGCTCGTGTTGGTCACCAACGATTCTATACAGTCAGAAAAAGTTGCAAGTGACCAAAAACAAAATGTATACGTCACTACTAGAAAATTAACTTTTTGCGCCTAATCTTTTGCGACAGCCAATTGCTAATATACTACCTCATATCCCTTTAGGTAGCATCGAGCTCCAATTAATTTCCTAGAAAAACATCATATGTGAATTGAATTTATTATGTGTGAGTTACACTATACAAATTTAAATCTATGCTATATATTAAAATTTTAAAAACTTTTTAAAAATAAAAATATGAGTACATAGCACTAGTTTAAAAAAAAAATTTCTGAATCATGTGCATTCCGCTGTGATGAGATCGTCCTCTTTTAATTTGGACTTTGGTGGATTGAACATTCAAATTATTCATCTTATATATAAGGAAAATTATATAAATAGAAGTTGCTTTAGTAAATTACCTATTACAATGTGATGGTTGGAAAGCAACCCCATTTTGGCAAATTCCTTTCCATGAATTGGGAATTGGATGGCATCCCCTCTTGATGCTTTCTTAATATACTTCCGGGAAAAGAAAATTATTAGCTTCCAGTTTTAATGATTTTGTAATTACCTTATTGTATACGGTGACCATCTTTTCTTTTTGGCCTTGTCAATTGTACTTTATTGTAAGGATGTGTGAGTTTGTTATGCACTTCTGTGTCATATGTTGTAAGTTGTAACAAGTGTTGTACTTCTATTTTTCCTCCTTAATTGTGTCTTCTCTTTGTATTTTTTTGGGTATTACAACCCTCTTGCTTCTGCATTGTTAGGTGAGGAACATTATTTGCTCTAACTAGTGATAGACTAAACTGTTGATTATTAATATGTGCAGTGGCTTGTTGAGTACAAGGCGACTTTGGCATCCATCTGCTTCATGATTTTGCTTGGATTTGTAGATGATGTCCTCAATGTCCCTTGGAGAGTGTGAGTATTCCAATCATATTTTTTGGATTTATCGGCCCATTTATTTCAAGAGCATTGTTTTCTCTTTGCATTACTGCATTCAGAGTTAATGCTAAACTAGGTCTTTCTGACTTTGAAGAATAGGAAATTATTATTGCCATCAATTGCTGCTCTTCCTCTGTTGATGAAGCCTCTCATTCCCTATCTTGGGCTTGAGGTTTTGGATCTAGGTAAACCTAAAGCATTAATTATGATTTTAGAGACCTTTTGGAAAAAAAAATTCGGATAAACCCAGATCCATGTCCCCAATTTCTTCGACTACAACTTTCATTTTGAATCGTTCATGTTTTTTTCAATTTCACCATCATTTCACTTTCTCATCAACATCACTTGTCATCTCTACCTCACTAATTTCTTGCATTAATTTCTAGAAACAGGGCATTACTCTAAATTGGGTGAAAAACTCATCACCCTCTTTCCAAAATTTCTTGATTCTAAGTAATTATTTTATATGTGCCAAACAGTCTTCTAACCCAACAACATCAACTTCCTACTTCTCACGTATGAGAGGTTAAGGGTTCGACTTTCGTTAGAGACAAGGCTGTGTGGCGCCATTCTTTTATTATCACTATGTTGCACACTCTTCCCAAGGAATTTCAGACAAAATAGTATTTGAGTTCTATGTGCAAAATTTACTCTTTCTATTAGATTGAAGGCATTGTATGACAAATTTAATTCTAGAATTGAATATTAGACTCACCTTGTTTTTGTCTCATTGTTCAATTGTGAACAAATAATATTTCTATGTACTCTCAGCCTCAATTCATCATATTTACAAGTAGAAAGAGAACTTGTAATTTAAGTTGCCAATGATTGAGGAAAACATTGTTGGTAGAGCTAGCTATCTTTTGCTCTTCATGTTTATGCAATCTATAATTATTCTGTTTATCAGGTATTTGTGCTAAATTTAATTGAATTATTTGATGCAGGTTTTGGTTGTAGGTGGTGGTGATGGTAGAGTTCTTAGGGAAATCTCTTGCCACAATACTGTTATATAATTCCAAACGCCATAATTAAGTGATCCCATAGTTAAGCTTGAAGTTGCTCTTAAGGTAATTGAAACTCTTGTTGCAAATCATTGATCTGCCATAGAGATAAGTCACTGACATAGTTTTATTTTGATTATTTCAAGCTAAACTAACACATTTAAGTGCATTAAATTTTCAAGTCAAGTTTGATATATGTTTTTGCAGATTTTGTTGAGGGAATAGTTGATATGATCGAGCGGTTGATGTTGGGAGCCAAAGATTATGTTGCTCTTCTTCTTCTTCTTCTTCTTTTTTTTTTTTTTTGAAGACTTGAATTTTTTAGTACAGTGTATTTAAAGATGATTAATGGATAATGTCTATTATAAATTTAATTAATTTGTTAATTTTGTTATTTTTCATTTACAAAAAATTGTTTGGTGCTTGTAATTGATTTTTTTGTTGTAGCAAACCCATATATGATTTTTTTTAATAAATAATTATTTGCGACAATAAAACAATGGTCGCTAAAAGTGTTTTTTATTTTATTTTATTTTTTTGCGACGGCAAAATAGTTGTCGCAAAAAGTAGTTTAGGCGGTCGGAAATAATTTGCGACCGTTGCTTTGCCGTCGCAAAAAGTATTTGCCACCTCCACATTTGCGTCCCCCATATGCGGTCGCATAGGCCGTCGCAAAAAGTCTTTTGCAGCTGTATTTTTATTATTTGCGACGGCATGTGACGGTCGCAAAAAGCATTTTTTTTAGTAGTGCTTATAGGATGTTAGTAAAGTTGGATTATAATTAAAGGAGTCGTTGCTGCTCCATCAACTTGAACACCTGACTTTCTTCTCATTACACCTTGAGGTGTGGCAAGGTGTAGCTATAAGACCACTCTTAAGGTGTCGTTACAACAAGGCCACTGAGTCAAACCTAATGTCTAAAATACTAAATGTCCAAAAAATACATTTATACATCATAATTATTAGGGGAAATATCAAATCAATGTAATTGTGAAAACATAATTACAAATCAGTAAAAAAAAAAAATTATAAATATTAATAATTAAAATTTTAAACTTTATATAAGTATATAATTTATTTTTCATAATGTCACTAGAGTGCAATTACCTCTAATTATTTTAAGTACAGCTTACATTCTACTAATTTTCAATGTATACCGTACATCTCATTTTGGGACAAAATTCAATTTACTTTTACATTCTATTTTTTATTTTTTAGAGGGTGAAATATATATATCAATAATTATGAAAAACTCTAATTTTGGAGCTCTAAAGAGAGCTCTAGTGATAAAATAAAAAAAAATAAAAAAAATATAAACACACACATCACATCACATCACATGTGGACCCCACTTCTTACCACATCACTAAAACTCTCTGTAGAGCTCCAAAATTAGATCTCTCAATCTTTATTCATATACATATATTAATAATCAAGTATCCGCAGCAATTTAAGGACACTTCAACTTCAATCAAATACCTCTCATCCCAACTGGGCCTTCTAATTTTTCGGTCAAATACCTCCTCATTCCAACTGGGCACACTTGGAGGTAGCCATCTCAAGTTCCCCCAATACTCTCTCTCGTCTCCCGCTCTCTCTCTCCCTCTCTCTCCAATGTCCAACAACAACAACATGAGGAAGGTCCGTCTGAACACAGTGACAGTGAACCTAGGTTGCAGCAGCTGCCAAAGTCCAAGACTCTCCAACATTTTCCACCCAAAGCCAAAGTCCAAAACACCCACTACTTACCACCACAGAAAACACACCCTCTTCTATCACACCTCTTCAACCTCCTCATCGGACAATGCTAATCCTCCCCACTGTGCTGACGAACAATACACCACAACCACCACCACCACTACGGACACAACACCGCTGTGTCAGTCAGACTCGGACACAGAGTCCGACATAAGGAGCCTTCGGGCGGTTCAGGGGTTCGGGAGGATTGGCAGTGAGAGCGTGGCGGTGGAGAAAGATTCGGACGACCCGTACCTGGACTTCCGGAGATCGATGGTTGAGATGATAGTGGCGAAGGAGATATACTCAAGGGACGATCTCCGCGAGCTTCTCAACTGTTTCTTGCAGCTGAATTCACCTTACTACCATGGGATCATCGTTCGAGCTTTCACTGAGATCTGGGATGCTGTTTTCTCACTCAGAGTCAAGTGTTCTTCTCCAAAACTCCATCTTCCCCACAACTCACGTGCGCCATTCTAACCGTTAAATTTTGCGTCTGTAGTCTACTGGGTTATTATTGTAATTATCAAGACTTGGTTTGATTTCATCTCGTTTGATTTACTTTGTTTAATAGTTAGTTATATATTTAGACATGACTTTTAAACATGGCAAAATTTTATTGTTCACTATTGTATGGTAGCTTAAGAGTAAATTTAGAGGAAGAAAAATAAGTAGAAAAATGCTTGGGAGCACTAATTAGTGCTCCCACTAATTAGGTGACAGTGAGTCCCGTCATTAATGATGTGATACTTTGGTCTTGAAATTGTATATTTTTTTTTTTTTTACTTTTTTAATACATTAGTGCTATTAGTGGTGATATTTTTAACGGGATGAATCATTGTTGATATAAATATATATAAACAGAAGATTTATAAAAATTACATATAAAATGGGGTGACAATTCAGTCAACAGGAAAACCATCATTTTGTATGAAATTTTATTTAAAAGTTTAATTATGAAAGAACTAATTTTTAGGAGAATTATTACACTTGGTGGGGCTTTGGTCAAAATCTTTACGGGCCTTTAAGTTGGAGATGCAGTAGTAGTTTCGCTTGGTGGGAAAAGATAGACGTTGGGATTTGAAAATAAGCGTTATTAAAGATGGGGTGACAGTTGTTTTAATGCACTTTAATGAGAATATTATGGCGGACTGACTATGTACATTTCCCAACATTATCATTAAGCTTTATATTTTTTTTGCACATTTCACAAATGTATAGGAAACCTATCTAAAGCCATTTCTAGGAACCCAAAAATGCGCGTTGAATTCTTATTCATCCGAACATGGTTTTGAACAACCAAATATAGACCCTCTTACTTCTGTTTGTAATCATTTTATTCTTTTGTAGTTCAATACTGGGAGAAAATTCTTATATAATTTTAGATTAAACTATTACGATTAATTTTTTTTTGTAAAAGATAATAGAGGATATGCCATATTCTCTCAAATTGAAAGTGAACAATGCAAAAATGTTAAGTTTTAGTAAAAAATTGAATCAAATGTTAATAATACTCTCATATATATTCATCTTATTCTCCAAATTAAATCGTAATCTTTACCAAATCCTAATCCTAATTGTCATCTTTTATAAAAAAATTAATTTATTTTAAAATGTTATTAAATGAGAAATTGAGTTAAAAATTAACTCATGATTTAATTTATTTATATATATATATATATGTAAATGTTCGATTTAAAAATGTTTTTAAGAAATTGGATTAAAAATTAAAAATTAGATTATGGTAATTTTATAATTTAATTTTATGGTACTAAATTAAGGTATTTAGGTAATTTATGATTTAATTATTAAATATATATTTACATGTTTAATTTAAAATATTATTAAATGAAATAATTTTAATAAATTAGAGTTTTTAGTTTAATTTATGATTTAATCTGTTAAATGTATATTTCTATGTTTTTTTTTTGGGTGAATATATATTTCTATGTTTAATTACAAATAATGTTAAGGTAATTTTATGAGTTAATTTTATGGTAAGAATAAAGATTGGGACTCACTTTTCCCCCACCTCCTTTGACCCTCTTTCTTTTTTGAGTGGTAACTTTTTTTTCTTTTTTTTCTTTTTTTTCTTCTCCTTCAATCATCACCCGCCACGTGTGTGCGGAGTGGTGGGAGTTGAAGTTTGAGGGGGTCTAAATCACTGCTGTTATGGTAATAAGCCTTTGTTTGGGATATGAGTTGACTTTTGGCTATTTTAGCCTTAGCTTGGGACTAAAAAGTCTCGTTTGGGTTGGACATTTTAGCTTTTTTTACTTTTGTGAGAGAAAAAAATGAAATGACTATGATTTGGATATGACATTTTATCTTATTATGCTAAAAAACATATTTTACTTTTTTGTGGCTAAAATAGCCCCAACCCAACCCAACCCAACCCAACCCAAATCTTCTTACCAAACGAACCCTAAATTAAGGTGTTTAGGTTAATCTTGGGTAAATTAGCAATAAACTTCATGAGATTTGCATAAAATACTATTGTTCTCCTGTGATTCTAAAAATTATATAGTGCCCTTTCAAATTTATAATTTCATAACAAATGATCACTTTTATTAATAAATCAGCAAAACAATTAATAGTTTTTAATGATGTCAAAATTTTATTTCAATTAATAATTCAAATAATTTTATCATTGTATAGGAAAACAGTTAACAATTTTAATTTTTCAGTTAATATTGTTAAATAAAAAATTTTGACAACTAAACCATAAAGAGCAATTTGTATTTTACACAAATCTCAAGGGATATACTTATAATTTACCCTTATATTTTTTAATTGAGTAATGCTACAATATTCATTGTCTTTCAATTTTATTTTATATTATTATATCATGTGTTAATTGTTTAATTGTCAACACTAAATTAAAAATATATATGGGATGGTGTTCTTTCTAGTCTATATGGAATTGGTAGTGTTATTGGGATTCTGTGGGCTCACTACATAGTTCACATTGATAATTTGAATTTTTTAATGCGTAGAACTCATTAAATACTTTAATTTTGTAAAAAATCACGTTAATCGGATATCGATAATTACTTGATCATGTTACATTTTTATCAACGGTAAGTATGACTTTAAGCCTCCGTTTGGGAAGTGGGTTGACTTTTTGGCTTTTTGGCTTTTTTGGCTATTTTAGCCTGGGCTAAAAAGCTTGGTTTGGGAAGGACTTTTTGGCTTTTTGGCTTTTTTGACTTTTTTTGTGAGAGAAGAATGTAATGATTATAGGTTGGATGTGATGTTTTGTTTGTTATGGCTAAAATAGCCTATTTTGTTTTTTGTGGCTAAAATAGCCAAAAAAACCTGAAAAAGCCCTTGCCAAACACAGGCTAAAAATAAATTATTGACACAAATATAATCTGATCAAGTGATTATTGCTATTCGCTAAACGTATTTTTTGCAAATATGAATTATTCGGCGAATTTTATACATTAAATTGTTTAGATTATCAATATGAGATTCGTGGTAAACTCACAAAGGCCCAATAACATCCCTCAATCAAAACACTAATTGGGAAGAAGCCTTTTCCAATATATATTAATGATATGACCCATTTATTGTTGGGAAAATTATTATGGGTTGAGTTTCTCTCATGTTGGCTATTAGGAATCGCTTATTGGAATATTCATGCAAAAGATTAAGATAATCGGATATCAGTAGCCATATAATTGAATCAAATTTGTATTAAAAAAAATAGATAGTTATTCTTAAAATTATATTTGCCATTCATTTTTTAAAAATAAATACGATTCAAACATATAACTACTGATATCTAATTATCTTAATTTTTTACATGAATATTCTTCTTAACAAGTCCTAACAAGGAAATCGTTTGAATCACCGAAATCGATTCCAAAAGAAGCCTACTAAACCGGGCACTCTCTTCATTTAAGATGACAACAGGGGAGAAACCAAATCCAATTATTATTGGGACAATTACACATAGGTACATAGGTGGTGTCAGTAAAAATTTATTATATGTTAATAAAAAAGTTTATAATTTTAATTATTAATATTTAGAATGTTTCTCACATTTAAGCACACATCCATTGCACGTGACTATTTTGCTCCAACCCATTTTTTTCACCAATTGTAGCAGGTAGTGTTCATGGATTTAAGTAAAAATTTGAACAAAAAATTGAGATCAACTTCTATGAAGTACTATCTGCATGTATATCATCTGAAAATGAAATTAAAATTAAACAAAGTAAAAAATATAGATTAAATGTAATCAAAATTGTAGAGCTATTTTTCTATATTGCAATATTGCAAATAGTTTTGTGAAAACGTATAAATTTGAAAACATATATATATCATGCACGAAAAAATAAATAAATAAATAAAAGAAGAAAAGTATGAATTAACTTATGTGCAGTTGTCTATATTATATAATCAAAATATAATTTTCAAAAATTAAACCAAATAAAGTAGTTATTTAAAATTTTGACAACATACCTGTGTTATTAAAGTACCATGCAAAATAATACAATTTTAAAAATCTAAACAAAGAGAAAGTGTATAAAAATATCATGCAAATGCCTGAGATGCAATATGAACATGGATGCATCTCCCTCTAGGTAAATTCGAATAGATTTATATAATTCTAAGATTGAATCCAAAATATTTACAGTATTTTGTGTAAATTCAAACAAATGAATATAATTCACAGCGGTCTAATCCATGATAGGTGTGATGGACAATTGTAAACGATATGCATAGCAGTATGGAAGTAGATAGAGGAAATAAGAAAAAATTTATAGTTCAACCATCAATTCAAAAAATAAGGATACATGTTTCGTAATATCCCAGTGGTTGTATGTGTGTAAATTAAGTGACTAAATAAAATAAAGAACAAAATAAAAGTAAATAATTTAGAAAATAATTTAATAAATTAAATTCTGAATTAAATGCTTACAGAATTTATAAGTCGAGGCTTGTGTTGGACACAATTTCCTTAAAGTTGATTTTCGCCCTCGCTCTGGTGCTTTGAGATTTACCGGCATCTACTTCCCAGAATGCAACGACTACAACTTGATTTACAGCACTACAAAATCAATTCTGGCAAACAAAAACTTTGCTGTAACTCTCTCTTTTCTTTCTAAAGATTAAATGATAGATAGATACAGAAGACAAGAGGACGACTAGAAGGAAAAATGAAGAAATGCTCTGAAAATTTTGGATTGAAAGAATTGTTGGAATGATAGACTATTTATAGGAAACTAGTGGCTTTTCCGAACAGGTTTCACTAGATAAAAAACCAGTTCGGACAGATTCAATAGGTAGAAACCTGTTCGGGTGGATTCAACAGGTAGAAAACCTATTCTGGTGAAATTCAATAGGTATGAACCTGTTCGGATGGAGGAAAAAATCTAAACCAATTTATTTTGAATTTTTGAATTTTGAAACCAAAATTAAAAAATAAATAAATAAAATAAAAATCTTTTTGGCCCAAAAAGATAAGTATTGAATCGGACAAGCCCAACTCAACCTCACACCTCGCACTCGCACCTGCACCCGCACCCGCACCCAAGCCCAGCCCAGCCCAGCCTAGCCCAGCCCAGCCCGTCCGACAGATCGGACGAATAGCGGTGGCGACACGTGCGCGTGTTTTTATTTTGGGTCTAATGGATCTAGCCCACTTTACTCATAACCTCACCCTTCTACAAATTTGGGTACCCCTTGGAGCCCATCCCAAGTATCTCAAGCTAGAGT